GGGCGTGCTATAGGTCAATGAGGGCGGCAATGAGGACGCCAATGAGATAGGCGAAGGAAAACAAACGGACCGGGGGCGATCAATCATGAACTGCGCGCAGAATGCCTCCTGTGGCAAACAGAGGGGCTGCGGCGACGACGAGCCTGGCGTGGCGCGGCGTTGCGTTGCGTGGCGCGGCGTGGCTCGGCGTGGCGCGTTGGGGTGGCTCAAGGTGAGACAAGGCGCCGCCTTTGACACGCGCCATCGGTTTTGGTAATTACCTTTTCCAGGCCGTAATGACTAACCACCCAAACTCGTTCGTGGCCGTTCTATGGCTCCACTTCAATCCCCCGCCCCCCGCCTCGTGCAACCCTCCACCGCAGCACCGAATCCCCGCCTGTCCCCATTACGTCTCTAACGAGTGCGTCTTGCAACAGGCTGGCGGAGGGGCTCAACGGCTCAGCCGGGTCTGGTCAAGCTACCCCCCCCCCCCTTTCCCCTAGCTCAATCAGCAGGCCTCGGCAGACTGGTCGAGCAGTGCCAAAGATCACGGCGTGTCCTCTCGCACATCCGCGGTGCGGAGAGGCTTCGGATCCTGGGGATGGACATCCTGCACAAATGACCCCCCACCCGCCCGCACGTCTCTTGCGCGACGGTCTGGCAGCAGCGCTAACATGGCATGGGCCATTAAGAAGCAATTACGCTTCTCTTGCGGAAAAAATAAAACACGGGATCACAGAGAAGCAACGCCACGCAGAGACGACAATTTCATCTGGGTCGGAGTGGCAGAGTGGTCACAGAGTCCCGGAACAGCAAGCAGCTCTTCGTCGTGTCGGTGAAACACGGGAGAAAGGGAGGGAGGGAGGAGGCAAGGACGCTGGAGCGGGGAATAAGAATGAGGACCTTGAAAGAAATGTCTCACTCTCGACTGTCATTGTACTCCAGACAAAAAAAAGAGGTTTGCGCACTGCAGCGAGGGTGGCGAGAAACGATATTTCACTTTCACCGCCAGCCCAGACCACGGAACTCAAATCATTGGCCGGGGCCGTTTCACTTTTCCAATCAGCGGCGGTCTGCGGCGGTGCTCTTCTCCTTGTCGATGGTTTGGCGCTTCGTCGCGCGGAGTAGAAAGCGATGGGAGAACCGAAACGGGGCAGAGGGGAGAGGAAGGGAGGGGAAGGCCCAGGACCGCAGTCCGCCCCTCACCGCCAAAACTGTTCCTCGCACAATGTAGCCTCGACGAGGGTTGGAGGTAAGGTCACAGTGGTGCCTGCGGTCGCAGAGAGAAGATATGACCTCCATTTCCTCCCTTTCTCTTTCAAATTAGAGTACGCCCCAGTCAAAACGCGTTTCTATTTCGTATCTTTCCTCTAGATCATATTGAAGAAGAAACGGAGGGTATAGGCGTTGTTTAACGAAGAACCGAAAAGGAGAATTAATGTCTCCATTGAATTGAGAAGACAGGATGGTCCACAGGCCCCTTTCTTTATTTTCCTTATACTGTACTGCATGCAGGCGTGCGAAGAGAGCATATACTGGGTGTTGCATAAAAGACACAAGGGCGGGCGGGTTTGCCTACCCGCTCTGCCCGTAAGGCGCAATATAGCCCCTTGGGTAGGCAAACCCGCTCGCACCTGTGTCTTTTATGCAACACCCGGTACTCACATGGGGCCATAAAGCGCCGTTGGTGAGCGACGGTAGGCATGCCCGCCCGCACGCCTGCATGCGCTTGCAGTACAGTATAAGCAAAAGAAGAGGTCTGTGGGCCACTCTTTGTATA